CCTATCAGATTGGATTTTTGGATAATATGGCCAATGGCAGGATGGATGTCCGTCGATCCATCAGTGAATTGAAGGCATCTATTTTTTGAGCTCAGATTCGGTCGGTCGAGAACCGATCCCATGAAAAATCGCTGATGATAACAGCTTAAGCTTTTCCTTGGTCGCATGAAGCCATCGCTCGAAAGGGCACCAACTATGGCAGACATTTTGAACAACGAACATTGACGTTGTCTGTGTTCGACTCGGCAAGCAACAACTTACAACTTCCGTCCATACTTGAAGATCATCTCATGAATGAATTTCGTCAACGCTTTGTCCCATTGAGCATAGGAGACGCAGTGATTGACATAGCCTACGGACGAGCGGTATTTGGTTGCGCTAACGTGGATGATCCCGTGCCCTTCGGCCCGAAAGACGGGTAGCACAGTGTCCCCTCAACGGCAGAGAAGTCACCACCCTCACCGAGCAGTCGTGGGCCAAGGTCTACGTCGCTGTACAAGCAACTTTTGCCACAAGGAAGATGGTTGGGCCATTGATAGCTGCGCCTGCCTGACGCGAGCTTCCTGTCCAGTAATGTCAGGCGTCTACGAATGCCGCAGTGGCTCAGTTCACCGAAATTCTACTCGCACTGAATAACCCGGACATCGTTCCTGTGTGCTATCTCTCCAATCCAGCTGCCTCTAAAAACATCAATCCAGCCCCGGTCGATTTGAAGGAGCTATTGATGAACTTGGAAGCCGACTCACGCAACTTGCAGGAGATGGCCAATCGCTCTTTTATGCCCACTGAACATCTTGCTAGCTATTAAGGCTTCGCTACTAACACGACGTCACCAGGAGGCATTTATACAGGCACACTTACCCATTTGTCCTTATAAGCGACGAGGCCTCTCATATCCCAGAACCCGCCTAGCCATCAGACCGCCATCCGCTTGACGTGTCTGTAGGAGACGTCTATCAACACAAGCCTGCGAAGTGCGAAGTATTCACAACAGCGAACCCAGCTATCTGCGGCGCTCAAAGCACCATGTGTCCTCAAGAAAGCCTGCGCCGTCCCAATCGCTCCACTTCAGACCACGTCTAAAATGCATCCGGACCATTCAACTTTCCAACCGCATCACTTACGAAGGTCGACTGATCGGCGGGATTCGACGCTGAGACCGGCAAGTGTTGCTCTACGCATGGACTTCC